CCACATGCTTATGGATTTCAGTGCTAAGATCAACAGCAGCATTCACACTTGCCTCGAATAGATAATTCTTTTGACCTCACAACCTCTGAGGATGCCTACCATAGATTTGGGTGAAACGTCAGGAGAGAATGCTTCTGGAACATAGCCATGCAGCCCGAAAAACTTACAGCGATTTTGTTCATTTTCATAGTTTCCCTCTTTCTGTTGAAATTGTCCACATGCTTATGAATTTCAGTGCTAAGATCAACAGCAGCATTCACACTTGCCTCAAATAGATAATTCTTTCTTTTGACCTCACAACCTCTGAGGATGCCTGCCATAGATTTGGGTGAAACGTCAGGAGAGAATGCTTCTGGAACATAGCCATGCAGCCCGAAAAACTTACAGCGACCCAAGTGTATTTCTGCTGCTCCCGAGACTAAGATACGGAGGAATGGATTCAAACGACAGAAAAATAAATTTCACATAAACATTAGAAAGAGCTTCCTGCTGGGAAGGACTGTTCAGCAGTGGAATATGCTGCCTCCTCATAGTGTGCTGAAGTCTCCTTCTCTGGAAGTTTTTAAGCAGGGACTAGATGGACATCTGTCAAGAATGCTTTGATTGTATATTCCTGAATGATAGGAGGTTGGATTGGATAGCCCTGGGGGTTTATTCCAACTATGGAATCAGGCAGGGAGAGAAAGAAATGGGTGCCCGGTTCCTCCCTTCCTTTCACCCTCTGCCCAGTTGCTTGCTGCCTACCTTCCTGACAGACAGTAATTGGGCAGCCGGAGAAAGAAAGGGTTGTCTGCTTCCTTCCTTCCTTTGCTTGGGCAAAACAAACACTTGTGGCATGTACCAACAAGAAAAGGAGCCAATCCCATCCACCTCATCTGCCTGCTGATTCCCAGCTTTTTTCTCCTGTTGCCTTGTGCTGGGGCTTTTTTCCCCAGGCAAAGGAAGGAAGGAATTGAGCACCTATTTCTTACCTATTTCTTTCTCTGCTCAACTGATTGCTTGTTATGTTTTTCCTTCTCTCTGCTGTACTAGAGAAGGAGATTGGGGGGCTGGGGGAGCAAGCTAGTGGGGAAAATTAGGGAGAGCAAGTGGAGCAAAAGGCAGGGTGGCAAGGGAACCGCAGACCATGATGTGTACCCCTTCTTCCAGGACTGCAATAGCTGCACCTTATTCCCCCTTACAACCGCTCAATTCTCCCACAAATATTTACGCTATTTCCATTGCAGGGAACTGTTCCCCAACTCCTATGAAAATTGGGGGCTGGCTGTACACCAGATACATATATTATGAAACCTGCTTTTTGAGCTTCGATTGTTGTTGAGTGCAGACCCTCCCGGGTCAAAATAATAAATTAATCAAGTTGGTACCATGCTGGAGCGTACCACAGATAGCCATTGGAGAGTACCAAATCTACATCGAAAGCAGGGAACACTCTTCTATTGGCTGGCGGGGCCGCCTTGGCAAGGGATCCACACACAACTGATTGTGATGTCAGCTGGGGCGGGAGCGGGAATTTCAAAGAACTGTACTGTATAAAAATATCTGTTTTTCACTGTAATTATATCTCAGCTTCCTTTGGCAGATTAACGCGAGTTGGCATCACTTTCAGCTAATTGAATAAAATACCTCATTTGCTTCTTCTTCAACTTGGTAAGATTGAATATTGGGCTTCTTCCCTCACCAGGAGCACGGATCTACATGGTGGCCTGCAGCAGGTACCAGTATCCACTTATTGGGACTCAGTATCTATGCCTCAGGTTTCGTTATCCACAGCTCAGATCTCACTATTCGCAGCAATATCTTTCACCTGACGTGTGTTACTTAACAGTGCATTCAAAACATTTCATGTTCGTGACACACTTTTTAGACACACATCATTTTGCAACACAATAATTCAATTTTACTAGCAAATCAGAGAATAAACTAACTCCTTATAAGAGATACTGACACATACCTAAACAGTAATAACTAAACATATGGGGACACAACATATTTCATTAAAAACTTTCATTTTATATATATTTTTTAAATATATGATTTGTAGGATAAAAACATACATTTTGAAGATTTTTTTTGTCATTTCTCATTACGTTTGGGTGACACATCTCTACACTGCAGCTGACACATTTAACGTGTCATGATACACTGTTTGGAAAGCTCTAGTCTAGCTCTTGTTTTCAAGGCTGCCTTTACACACTACAGTAATCCAGCTTGGAATTTGTTACTGACATGTGGCCTGGCCATTTCGGTCTAAGAAAACTGAGCGACACAGTGTCTGCCTGAATAGTCAGAGAGCCAGCTATGACAACAGCTGAGTGGTTTGAGTGTCACACTGTGATTCTGGCCATCTATTGGGAGTGCTTTGATTGTGTAGTCCTACATGGCAGAATGGAGTTGAACTGGATGGCCCTTGGGGTCTCTTCCAACGCCATGATTTACCAGTATGATCACAACTAGTTGTCGTTATACTAAGAATTCCCAAGCTCTGGAACACCATCTCAGAAGTTTATGGTGCAAGACAAGAGGAACAGAAATAAAACTGTGCAATACTCCACAGCTCAAGCACAATGGCATCAATCCGGTGGTCTCTTTCAAGACGTTGGTCAGTTGCCACACACCAGTTTAGCTGAGGCCCAATCTGCCATATAATCTCATTTCTGAATCCAGGCAACACAATTTTTGTTCCTGGGTTATAAATGTAATTTCCTAATTGGTTCTATCATAAAAACATGGAAAAATGTACTAAATTGCAAAAAGTTTGTTTTTTCAGGACATCCTGCATCCCAGTTTGCTATAGTTTTTCAATGAACATCTCACTGAGTCTCAACCATTTCAACATAGTTTGTGGCAGCCACATAAATGAAGTTTCTGGAGTAGAACAACTTTTTTTCATCATGTCAGGAGTGACTTCGGAAACTGCAGTGTTGCTTCTGGTGTGAAAGAATTGGCTGTCTGCAAGGACGTTGGCCATGGAACGCCCAGATGATTTACCATCCTTGTGGGAGACTTGTCTTATGTCACTGCAAGGGAAGCTGGAGCTGACAGACAGGAGCTCACCCCTTCTTGCAGATTCAAACCGCTGACTTTCAGGTCAGCAGTTCTGCTGACACAAGGATTTAAGCCATTGTACTGCTGTGGCTTCTTAGTAGAACAACTACTTTCAAAGGAAGTACTTATTTACTTAGGCAATCCCTCATTGTCCAAGTAGGATAGTCTTCCAAGATCAGTGTACTGGTGGGTCCGTATGTGACTGTGGAGCCCTATTCTTGATCTGCATCGTCTCCCACATTGAGGGCATTGGTTTCCAGGTGGAAGGCGGTCCCGGTCAGGGTGGGGTTGACGCGCCTTCCTCTTGGCACGTTTCTCTCTTTCACCCTCGATTCATGCCTCTTCAAATTCTACAGCACTGCTGGTCACAGCTGACCTCCAGCTGGAGCGCTCAAGGGCCAGGGCTTCCCAGTTCTCAGTGTCTATGCCAGAGTTTTTAAGGTTGGCTTTGAGCCCATCTTTAAATCTCTTTTCCTGTCCACCAGCATTCTGTTTTCCATTCTTGAGTTCGGAGTAGAGCAACTGCTTTGGGAGACGGTGGTCGGGCATACGGACAATGTGGCTAGTCCAGCGGAGTAGATGGTGGAGGACCATCGCTTCAGTGCTGATGGTCTTTGCTTCTTCCAGCATGCTGATTTTTGTCCACTTGTCATCCCAAGAGATTTGCAGGATTTTTCAGAGGCAACGCTGATGGAATCTTTCTAGGACTTGCATGTGATGTCTGTAGACAGTCTACGTCTCGCAGTCATATAGCAGCGTTGGGAGGACAATAACTTTATAAACAAGCACTTGGTATCCCTACGGATGTCCCAGTCCTCCAACACTCTCTGCTTCATTCGGAAAAATGCTGCACTTGCAGAGCTCAGGCGGTGCTGTATTTCAGTGTCAATGTTGACTTTTATGGAGAGGTGGCTACCAAGGTAGCAGAAATGGTCAACATTTTCTAATGTTACACCATTAAGCTGTATTTCTGGCACTGGAGAGGTTGGCTGGTGACTGCTGGAAGAGCATTTTGGTCTTCTTGATGTTCAATGCCAGGCCGAGCTTCTTGTAGGCTTCTGCGAAGGTGTTTAGAGTGGCTTGTAGTAGGTCTTCTTCTGAATGTGCACAGATGACGTTGTCATCAGCATATTGGAGTTCTGTAATGGAAGTACCACATGGTTAAATAGGAAATAACACTTTCAAACCAAGAACAGAAAAGTTTTCAATTTTGAATACATAGTGTTATCTCAGGCAGGTGCAAGCTTCGGCCCTCCGGGTGTTTTGGACTTCAACTCCCACAATTCCTAACAGCCTACCGGCTGTTAGGAATTGTGGGAGTTGAAGTCCAAAACACCTGGAGGGCCCAAGTTTGCCCACAATGGTACACTACAGGCCTGTAGCCAGGATTTCATTTCGGGGGGGGGGGCTGAATTTTTTTCAGGGGGGGGTTTTCGGGGGGGCTGAGTTTCGGGGGGGGGGGGCTGAGTCTGAGTGAAAGAGGGTCTAGCCTAGCAAACCTTTTGTATCATTACCCCAATACCCTCATGCATATGGGATATATTGATTATGGTGATCAGATCATGATATGAATAAACATAACAGTTTAAATAATGCACCAGTAAGGCCTTTTCGCGAACCACCATTAGAAGCCCCCCCCCCCCCCCCCGGCTACATGCCTGATCTGGCATATAATCTAGTACAAAGAAGTTAATCTGTACTGAGAAACTGGATTGTATGGCAGTGTAGATACAGCCTTTAAGATTAAGAAGTTGTGCTCCAGTTGTGTGAATGGAGACACCTTTGAAGAGCAGACCCTGCTCTACCTTTCCTGCCAGCCACTTCGGCTATGACCCGAAGAGGCCTCTGGGGGGAGCCCTCGAGCCCCGCCCGGCTGCCCTCTTTCTTCGGCGCGCCTTGCCTTGCCTAGCCTTGCCTTGCCTTTTCTGGCCGCAGAAGGGGAGCCTCCCTGGCGCCGCCCTCCCTCCCTCCCTCCCTCCCTTCGCGGGGGCTGGGACCAGAGAAGTGTTGTAAACTTCCAGTCGGAGCCAGGACGAGGAGGAGGAAGAGGAAGCCTTTCTTTACTACCTGGATCCCAAACTTGTAGGTGAGTGAGCCCTGAAGACTTGGGAGAAAGGCTGCCCACCAAGCAGGACACTCGGAGCGGCGTGCTTGCCTTTTTCTAAGTCCCAAAACTTGGCCAGACTTCTCTCCTGCTCTCGGATGTTTTCGCCTACCTTTCCCCCGGATGTTTAGTTCCTTGTGGAGGTCCGGGTTACTTAGGGAGCGTCTACGCTGTAGAATTAACGCAGTTTGACCTCACTTTAACAGCCATGTCTTAGTGCTAAGGAATTCCGGGGACTGGCGTTTGGTAAGGCAAACTTGGGGTCTCATCCAACTCCCAAGACCTTGGAAAGCTCCCATTATGGCAGTATAAGTGGTGTTGAACTGCATTAATTCCGCAGTGTAGATGTATTTGCCCTGGGAGGGAGGGGGAGAGCTCGTTTCGCTTTCGATCCCGACGTTCAATGCCGTGCCAGGGGTTGGATTCCTGAAAGATTCGTCCTGGAGTTCCAAGGAGCCCCGCTCTTAGGGCTGTGCGATTACTTGCGTTGAGATGCAGGCTCTCTGGGCATGCTTCCGGGAACTGTTGCTTCCCATGTTTCTAGAACCCAGCCCAGAGGTTGGAGACGCCTTGGCTCACACTTTAGTCTCTGTGTTCCTTCTCTGCCATCCCAAATATCTGTAGGTATTGAAATGGGGTGACTTTAATGCCCCATGCCCAGGACTTGGGAAAGTTCCCTTCTTTGGTCTGTGGCTTCCCAAGGTTCTCCTCCAAATAGGAATTCTTGGAGTGGTCCTTTGAAAAGGAACTTTTCCAAGCCCCAAATTATAAGGAGATGTAGGAAGGCTTGGTGAGTTCCACGGGAAGGCCTTGCTGCTGATTTGGGTGCCCTTTGGTCTGGCTTCTCTTGAGTGAGTGCTGGGCCTTGCAGTCTCCAAATGTGCCTTGTTTATATGGCACAGATCCAGATTCTTACATCATCCAAAGTGGCCACATCAAAAGTGCCTTCTTAGTCCCCTTCTACACAGCTGTATAAATTATCTGCTTTAAAGTGGATTATATGGCAGTGTAGACTCAGATAATCCAGTTCAAAGCAGAGAATGTGGACTATCTGACTTGATATTCTGGATTAGATGGCAGTGTAGAAGGGCTTTTTGTTATGATAAATAAAGGTAAAGGTTTCCCCTGACATTGAGTCTAGTTGTGTTTGACTCTGGGAGATGGTGCTCATCCCCATTTCTAAGCTGAAAAACTGACATTGGCCATAGACACCTCCAAGATTATGTGGCCGGCATGACTGAATGGAGCACCGTTACCTTCCCACAGAAGAAGTACTTAGGCGATCCCTCGTTGGACGAGTAAGATGGTCTTCCATGATGGGTTTCCTTGTGGATTCGTAGGTGGCTGTGGAGCCCCAAATAGAAGTACCTATTGATCTATTATTATTTGAAACACAACAAGATGAGTCCACAGCAGACACTCTGCTGGCTATTGAATAGGATCACACATCAGACACTTCCCAAGTGTCTAATAATGTGTGATGTATCTGCGAATAATGCGTGCAGATCCCAGTAAAGTGGCCTTCTGCAGCTGACAGATGGTAATTTTGTCAGCGCTGATTGTGTTTAAGTGCAGGCCAAGGTCTTTAGGCACTGCACCCAGTGCGCCGATCACCACTGGGACCACCTTTACTGGTTTGTGCCAGAGTCTTTGCAGTTCAATCCTTAAATGCTCATATTGTGTCAGCTTTTCCAGTTGTTTCTCTGCAATCCTGCTGTCACCTGGGATTGCGACATCAACAATACATACTTGGTTTTTTAACACGATTGTGAGATCAGGAGTATTATGCTCCAAAACTCTGTCTGTCTGAATCTGGAAGTCCCAGAGGAGTTTGGCGTGTTCATTCTCTGTAACTTTTTTCCGGCTTGTGATCCCACCAGCTCTTTGTCGCAGGCAGATGGTATTTGTGGCACAAGTTCCAATGAATCATCTGAGCAACGGTGTTATGCCTCTGCTTGTAGTCTGTCTGCGCAATCTTGCAGCAGCTGAGGATGTGATCTATTATTATTATTATTATTATTATTATTATTATTATTATTTGCAATATTTGTATACCACCCTTCTCCCCAAAGGGGACTCAGGGCGGTTCACAGTTGCATGTTTTCCAACTGCTAGGTTGACAGAAGGTGGGCCTAACAGTGGGAGCTCATCCCACTCCCTGGATTTGAATCGCCAACCTTTCGGTCAGCAAGTTCAGCAGTTTAGTGGTTTAACCCGCAGCGCCACCAGCTAAATTGCTAAATTGGACACTCTTCCTAGGAAGAGTTGCCTGGCACATACCCTGGCATTGTTCTGGTGCCAGGCAAATGTGCTTTTATTTTTCTGTGATTTATAATTTGATTATTGTCTGTGTTTGTTGACATCCCCACCAATACTACGCATACTTACTTTAGTTTTTATTGTTACATGTTTTTGTTCTTTGAATTTGCTGTGTGTATCAGTTAAATTTGTGTGTGTGTTTCTGTCAGCTGACTAGGAAATTTTATGAAAGAGCATAAAAAACTGATAAGTTAGTTGGATTCTAGTCCCATGAGGAAAGTGGGCATTTAGGTAGGGAATGAGCTGCCAAAGTAACAACTGGAGAGTACTCCTATATCTTTAAGCAGGATGGTATAGAAGAGACATGGGCAAACTTCGGCCCTCCAGGTGTTTTGGACTTCAACCCCCCCCCCCCCCCCCCCCCCCCCCCCACACACACAATTCCTAACAGCCATTAAACTGGCTAGGATTTCTGGGAGTTGAAGTCCAAATCACCTGGAGGAGCAAAGTTTGCCCACGCCTGGTGTAGAAAATACAGCTGGTATGTGTCAAGGAGCACCTGCTGAAATTCCTTCTTCTACACAACCATCAAAAGTATAGGTGCCCTCTCCAGTTTTCCATCTGACAACCACAGTGGAGAATGGGTTATTAAGAGTGTGTATGTATCTTTAAATCATCTGTCAATTTATGGCAACCCCATGAATTTTGTAGGACTTTCTTAGGTTGCTTTTTTTTCATGACAGGAGCGACTTGAAAAACTGCAAGTTGCTTTTGGTGTGAGAGAATTGGCCGTCTGCAAAGACGTTGCCCAAGGGACGCTCGGATGTTTCATGTTTTACCATCTTGTGGGAGGCTTTTCTCATGTCCCCACATGGGGAGCTGGAGCTGACAGAGGGAGCTCATCCATGCTCTCCCTGGATTTGAACCGTTGACCTGTCTGTCAGCAGTTCTGCCGGCACCCATTGCGCCACCAGTAAGGGATACTCAGAGGTGGTTTTTCACAGGCCATTTGTCAGGCAGGAATGGGGGCACAAAGAGATAGCAAGGAGTCATAAGGCAACCGTGGTGTGCCATGTGCCCTGTCCTGAAGCACACAGGAGAAGTTGCTCACCTGGGATGAAGACATGGAACAAGGAACAAGAGACACAACAGCCACTGGTTCTTCCTCTATGAATGGACCAAAGGCCATTCAGATCCAGATCCAGTAATCTTTGCTTAAGAGCCATTGTTACAAGAGACAAGTGCCTTTCCTCAAGGAGGGCAGGAAACCGGCGGAGCTGTGTACAAATCCATGGTGATGTGAACACAGTGACGTAATGGATGAGGCAAGAGAGTTGGGCCGTCTTCTCTCACATTGCTCAGCTGATGCCACCACCTCCATGCCTTGGTGTTGCCACAAATATCTTCTGGAGTGACACGTTCATTTACTCACTCCACCCTCTGACTGCTTCAACCTCATGCTCTCACATATGCTGACTGTTTTGCATTTCCTTTAACCTTCCCTTTCCTTACTTTTGTCTTGTTGAGTCTGGTAAACACTTAAGTTTGCTTCCATTTCAATTGAGATACTCATTGTGCATTCCTGACCCCACCTCTGAGTTCCCCCATTGCTCTTATCATTAAGCTGTAATTCTGTCTACATTTAGCAGTAAGTGCCCTTCAGGGAGTCCCTGGTGATTCAACGAGTTAAACTGCTGAGCTGTTGAACTTGCTGACTGAAAGCTCAGCAGTTCAAATCCGGGGAGTGTGGTGAGCTCCCACTGCTAGCCCCAGCTTCTGCCAACCTAGCAGTTCAAAAACATGCAAATGTTAGTAGATAAATAGGAACTGCTCTGGTGGGAAGGTAATGGCGCTTCATGCAGTCATGATGTCCACATGACCTTGGAGGTGTCTACGGACAACGCCGGCTCTTCGGCTTAGAAATGAAGATGAGCACCACCCCCCAAGTCAGACATAACTAGACTTAATGTCAAGGGGGAGCCTTTACCTTTACTATAATAAAGGACCCTTCTACACTGCCGTCTAATCCAGAATATCAATTCAGATAATCCGCATTGTTTGCTTTGAACCGGATTATCTGAGTCTACACTGACATATAATCCACTTTAAAGCAGATACTTTATGCAGCTGTGTAGAAGGGTATTAAGAAGGCACCTTTGATGAGGCCACTTACATCTTTACCTTAAGTGCCCTTCAGGTTAGAGGACTGTACTCCTGTGTGGACATGTGTTGTATATAATTGTGCTTTCAAATCCTTAGAAACATTTCTATGTATCTAAAGAATTGGGTTGTATTTACTGCTTTTTAAAATCCCTCAGCATTTTGCTGTTGTTTGGCAATTGTTGGCATGTTTACCATCATGTAAAAGGGATAATGGCAAATAAGGCATATTATCTGGCCAGGGCTGGCTCCATTGTCAGTGAGACTAGGAATCTGTTCTGGGTTTTAGTTTCAACTTCAAAGGAATTGTTCTGGGTGCTGAACCTCACTCCTCCAAATCAATTCATCACCCTCAACTTTTCAGGTCTTGAAGGCTCAGATATAAATAAACACCATTTTTATTAATCCTTCTCAAACAGCCATGCCCACCAGGAACCTGTCAGACAGCCCTGCCCTACCAGCCTGGAGTTCCTTTAATTACCGTCTTGCTCATTAATTCTAGTCGCCTTGATGGGGGTTTCCTATTCAAGCTTGTAATTCAGCTCTGTTTCGAAATTAGGAAT